GTGGAATATTGTTAGAAGATCTTCAGCAGGTCCCATGCAAGTGTATTTATGTGTCTCTCTGATCCTGTTACTGCGGAGGTATAGAAAATGCTGCTTGCTCGCCGGCCGCCATGTTGGATCCCTCTCGGGACTTTTTTTTTAAAAGAGGAACTAGTTTGAAAGACAACAGTCTGGGATATAGAATATACCTTATTGTGGTAACGTGGAAAGTTATGAAGAGGGGACTTGATTTTACAGGAGTGACAACAATCTTACTTCCTGGTGAAAATGGTCTCTACTTCATTTATAGTGTGGACAGTAGCTATGATGTCAGATCAACCAGGTTGTGGAAATATTAACCAGCTCTTTAATTGTGAAAAGAAGAAACTACAACTCCTGCAATACTGGTATTGACCTATATCTTATAAATCTCTCTCTTTTAGGAAATATATTTGTGGTGAGCCTAGCAGTTGCAGACCTGGTGGTAGCCATTTATCCCTACCCCTTGGTGCTGACATCGATCTTTAACAATGGCTGGAACCTGGGATCTCTGCACTGTCAAATTAGTGGTTTCCTGATGGGCTTGAGTGTCATTGGCTCCATATTCAATATCACTGGGATCGCCATTAATCGCTACTGCTACATCTGCCACAGTCTCAAGTACGACAAGCTGTACAGTAACAAGAATTCCCTCTGCTACGTGTTCCTGATATGGATGCTGACGCTAGTGGCAATTGTGCCCAACTTGAGAACAGAAACACTCCAGTATGACCCCAGGATCTATTCCTGTACGTTTTCACAGTCGGTCAGTTCAGCCTACACGATAGCTGTGGTGGTTTTCCACTTCATAGTTCCGATGGTCATTGTCATCTTCTGTTACCTAAGAATCTGGATCCTGGTTCTTCAGGTCAGACGGAGGGTGAAATCTGACAACAAACCCAAACTGAAACCACAGGACTTCCGGAACTTTGTCACCATGTTTGTGGTTTTCGTCCTTTTTGCAATTTGCTGGGCTCCTCTCAACTTCATTGGTCTTGTTGTGGCCACAGACCCTGCCAGCATGGTGCCCAGGATACCCGAGTGGCTGTTTGTGGCTAGTTACTACATGGCATATTTCAACAGCTGCCTCAATGCAATTATATATGGACTTCTGAACCAAAATTTCAGAAAGGAATACAGAAGAATTATAGTTTCACTGTGTACAGCCAAGATGTTCTTTGTGGATAGCTCGAATGATGTAGCAGATAAGGGTAAATGTAAACCCTCTCCATTAATAGCCAACAAGAATTTAATCCAGGTGGACTCTGTTTAGAAAAGCAAAACATTTCTGGCACGATGTCCATACTGCTCAGATCATATTCCTTTTCCTGTCGGCTTTGCTCTGGATGGATGTCTTGAAAACAGTAGTTGAGAAAAGGAAGCTCTTAAGAGGTTACCTGAAGTTTCTGAGCTAGTGTGCCCTGGGGCAAAGTGTCTAATTCTGCTTATCAAGAGAAATCCAGAACATACAGAGAATCATGTTAGTTGAAGAGTATGTTTCAGGAGTAGGGGGTTAAAGTAAAACACTGGATGAATTTAAGGGAAGAAATACTGTGAAAACATTTATTTTATCGTAAATAGGTTTCACAAATGCAGTAGAGTTATCCCTCCTTTTCCGTGGGTTCTCCATCCTTGGATTCAGTCAACCATGAATTGAAAACATTTAGAAAAAAACATTGCATCTGTACTGAACATGTATGTACTTTTATTCTTTTTCCTCCCTGAAGAATGTAGTATAATAGCCATTTGCATAGCATTTGCCTTGCTATGGGTTTTATAAGTAACCTGCAGGTGATTCAAAACACTGTAAATGTGAAGATATGTATAGGTCATAAGCAAATACTGTATTATTTTATATAAGGGTCAACAAATTTTTATATTCTTGGGGGCTCAAGGATTTTGAGGGATGAGTATAATTGTTTTCCCCCTCAATGAAAAGAACATTTGATTTATAAGTGAGTAAATGGAACAAAAAGGAGAAGTGAGATGAGTGACTCATTACGGAATGACTGAGTGGCAGTGGCAACAACCATTACCACCCCCATACTGAGCCACCCCCACCTAGCCATTTGTATTTTAAAAATAACATACAGGGTCTGGCTAAGTTACTGAGGCTGGCCACGAACTTGAGTTCCTCTTGCCTCAGCCTCTTGGATAGCAGGGATGACAGGCTTGTGCCACCAGTCCCCACTACTTTTTTCTATGCTTTTCTTTATACTTGAAAATAAATCATCTTCATTTGGGAAAAAAATCAAGTACAATTCAATGTAAAACCAGCTTTGCAATATTGATTACAGGTTTTGGGAAATCTCCTATGACTGTGTGGGGTAAAAATTTAGAGAATAACAAAGTTATTTTAGTGCTGTTCAATATTTATGTTAATGGTGAGTACTTATTTTACTGAAGCTCTTTCAGAAGACCAAAGACTGAACATAAACTAAATTTGTAAAATATAGGAAAAGGCCAAAAGGGACAGATATTTAACCAAAGTTTTAGTATATCCATAATGTAACAAAAACAAGTGGGCTAAAAATTTAATAACAAACTAAGCTAGTACCTGGAGAATGCTCTGGCCATCAAATTTCTAAAATGTTGGGACATGCCCTAATTGGGTTCAGCTTATGCTTATCTGTCACCAGAAGGATAATGGAGTCATTGTGCAATCACCTTGCTTCATAGTGCTGAGGAAAAAATTGAATTTAGGTATGGAAAAGCAATCATACATGAATATAGAAACAGAATGATTTTAGAAGCACAAACCTTAATCATATGTTATTCTATTTTCTATCTCTGAAGCAGACATTTTAAGTTAATAGAAATAACCACTTAGGAATGTTTTATACATTACAGAGTTTACCATGGGAGAAAGTGCCTGTGTATGGTTGTGCACGTGTGTTGGCGTGTATACTGTGTGCACAGGCCAGTTAGCTCTGAGGAAATAAGAACAGCTTCTATGGCTCTGTAAAGTCAAAAGATGATTTAGGTGTGTCTTATATTAGTAATAATAAGACTATGCTGTATTCCTTTATTATGAGGACACATTTCTTCATTCTGATTACAGGTTTATGATTCATATGCCCATTGAAAACCCAGTTTATTGCTATTTCATCTAGAGATTAGGTACTGGGCCTTTCTTTTCTTGAGGTAGCCTGGTTCTCTAATTGCTAGCAGAACTGTTACTTTGCAGTGTGCAATGCAAACATATCCAGTTTGGAATAAAATAAAATGAATGTTATTTTTAGTTTCTATGATGTTCAACACCTTGGAGAACTCTTGAATTTTGGTGTGCAAAGGGGCAAGTGATGATCCACTGAGCACCACCCTAATAAATACTAAATAAGCCTCCATGCTCAGGATGTGGGAGTAAGAATCAGTTTAGCTATTTGGTAAAAGAGCTGATAGAATTTCTGCCTGGAGAGCTATAGTACCTTCATTAATTCTGTGACCACTGAGCTACAGAATAAATGTTTGCATAGACAATGTTTACACAATTCAAAGTAGTTAAATATAAGATGTTAACCTCAATCCTGACATTATTTTCTGATTGTCACTATTTTCTTGCAGCCTGGGTATAAATGTGTATAAAACTGTAGGAAGTCTGTTTTTCCAAAAGACAGTTTAATTTTATATTTTTGAAAACAAAGCCATGATAGAGTATACTTGTATTATTTTACTTCTTTTTACCATGTATGTACCTTGTTACTGCCAAGGATGAACTTCAATGGGGATTTTACTTGTATATATTGTTTTGATAAATTATGTATGTATACATGTGCATGTGTATATATATGAAGGTGAATATGATTTCTTACGATTTTCAAGGTGTTTAGTTTTTATGTTATTTGGGGGAATTAAACATTGGTTAAGAATGAAAGGTGGTTTGATAATTATTTAAGATGTGTACCCGTTTATGGAAAATAAGCTTATTTTTCTGGTTTTGGCATTTTTCTCAGCAGAGTTTCAATGACTCGGTTATTCACGTGTGTTCATCTATCATGCGTCTATATCATACATATTCATTTATTCATGTTCATCATGGAAGGGAACTGAGTTTAACTGAACTTTGTTTGCCCCACCTTGATATATGCAACCAACAAGCTATGTTCTATTCCAAATACAGACTTATTGCACTATTTAACAAATGCGTTTCTCTTCTTTTTTTTCCCCCCAGAAATCATTATTTCTTGCTCAGTACACATGCACAGAATGGACTCCTTTCATTGTTAGAATTTAATTGGGGGAATGACAGCCTATTATCTTGACCTTTGTCATAAAATCATTAAAGGGAACTTAAAGGGTAGGTTCAAGCTATTTCTCTCATTTTTACAAACCATGAAGATGAGATTCATTAAACATTGTCCTGTTAATGATCTACTAGAGTTAGCAAAAGAGATGAGACTGAACCATGAGCTCCTGAGTTCGTTAAAAATTTAGGAAATATTGGACACCTTTCTTTTTCATAAACTACCATTCCTGGAGGAATAACCAACTTCCAAATGTATGAAGTCATATCCTATAGAGACCTCTTTTCTCTTCCTAAGATTTAAAGACAACATCTTATTGAGAACACAGACATATAAATGACCATCTGACTTTGACACATGAGAACCCTGAGTAGAACCTCGTTTTTGCTGCACTCAGCAGTAAGAGGAGGACAGGGAAACAAAGAATCCCAAAAGACATGGTGTCAAGGATCTTGATCCAACACATATCAGTGGGACCTCTCTAAAGTAAGATTATCATTTTCAATTGTTTAGTCCCTAATTCTCAGACAAATACATAGGAAACTTGTAGTTAAGCYTCATTTAATTCATTAATGAGAAGACCTGAAGAGTGACAGGGACCATTCAAAGATGAAATGAAGAACTAAGACTTAAATAGTCACTGGAGAAAGGAATATGGAAATAAGATTGTTACATTAACTACACATCACATTAATGATCTATGGAGCAATAAAAGTGCCAACTTTAAGATTCTCATTTAGAACAAACAAACAAAAAAAAATTACCAGTTTAAACATTTCTATTTTAATTCAAAGTCAGATGACTTCAGCTTATTGAAAAACATTCTAGCATGATATTTAAAGTTCCACAATTATCTTTTTTTTTTTCCAATTTCCTGTTTTGGACAGTTTTTCCTAAACAACTGGTATTGCATTTCTTCTAATAGACTGATTTGAAGCAAATTGTCATCTTAATGCTAAGTCTTACGATCCATATCATGATATGACCTTCCATTTGGTAATATCTATTTTTTTCCCTGAATATAAGATTAGAGATTAAGGTTGGGGTTGTGGCTCAGCGGTAGAGTGCTCGCCTAACGTGTGCAAGGCCCTGGATTTGATCCTCACCACCACATAAAAATGAATAAATAAAACAAAGGTATTGTGTCCAACTACAACTAAAAATAAAAAAAAAATATTAGAGATTATTTATGATAGGAAAAATGATGTGTTCCTGTAATCTCAGCTACTTGGGAAGTTGAAGCATGAGGATGAGTCTTCAAATTTGAGACCAGTCTGGGCAGCACAGCAAGATCCTGTCTCAAAACCAAAACCAGAAAATTATTCATATATGTATTCATAGATATTAGATGTTTCAAGTAATGTTATGATATTATAAAATTTCATCTTCTAATCATTTGTTTCTAGAATATAGAAATATGATGTATTCTTATATTTTGTATTTTGGAAGTGAATTTAAAATTCACATATTTAGATTCTTTTTTTATTATAAGTGCATTTATATTATCTTGGATGATAGTTTTATATTTTAAATTTTTATGCTTTTTTTTTTGCCTGACAGAAAACTTTTATTTATGCTTTTTCTTTATTGTCTCATGACACTGGACTTTCCATTGCAACATGAAATGGAGTGGTCTTAGAGGCATTTTTGTCTCATTTCCAATTACTAAACAGGTGTTAACATGTTCGCTGTGGGTATTCTTGAAGACAATTTTGTAGATTTTCCATATTAGATAAAGGAGGGACCCCACTCTTTCAAAGTTTGCTAAATTTCTTTCTTAACCATAATTAGGTTTCAAAATGACCATGTAGATTTTCTCCTTTATTCTGTTAATTGTAATGATGGATTTTCAAATATGTAGTTAACTTTCCTACGATAGAACCAACTTGGACTTTTTCACATTCTAGAACTTAGTTTGTTACTGTATTTTTAGCCTATTAGCATCTTTGCTCTTGAAAAAGATAGTTTCATTATTTTTTTCTTCTAGAATGATCTCTTTAGGTTTGGTATCAAGTTTATGCTGACTTCATGACCTCATAAAGTGAATT